CCCCTTTCCCCCCCCCCCCCCCCCCCCCCCTGCCTTTGTGTATTTGCAATGCTATTTACATTTGCTTACGATATTCCATTTCCCTCGAGCAATTACGACCTCCCACTCAAGCTCTAGTGCATTCTCTGTGGAGCGATTGGCTTACCGCAGTTTCCTGTTGCGCTGCACCGAGATGATGACCAGCGCATTGCCCAGCACTGCGGCCAGGATAATTGACGAAAAGATGAAGCCCTTGAGCAGCAACAGCGACACGTCCACCCAGCTGTCCCCCTCCAGCTGCTCGCCGACTTCCGCCGCGCTGCCGAGGCTGGCATTCGTGTTCGCTGTCAGATTGCTGGCGACCGTGGAGAAGAGCTCCAGGGCGGTGGCCGGCGGGGATGGCAGCGCCGAAGATGCACCGCCCGGAGATGAAGTCGATGATGCCGTTAATGACAGCGAAGTCAACGAGGCGTCCACAAATCGTGTTGTTGTTTGCAAAGTAGTTGTAGTTGTTGATGTTCCCATTGTCGTCGTCGTCGTTGTTGTTGTTGTTGTGGCTGTTGTAGTCGCTGCAGCTGCTGCAGCTGCAGTTAGCAGAAAGTTGCCACCACGACCATTGGCGATGGCTGCTGCAGTTGTTGTTGTCGTTGTTGCAGCTGCACCACCAGCTGCCAGCATAGCCATCGATGTGCTAGGCCGTCGCGTAGCTGAAGTGGGCAATGCGCCTGGGCCGTGCACTGCCTTAGGCATTGACATTATTTCGACTCACTGTTGCGTTGATTAAAATGTCTGCGCACTTGCTGTCCTGCTCGCTGAAGAGTAGTAGATAATCATTTTTCGTTCGCTCACATAATTGCAATTTGCAACGCAAACAGGCAACGGGTCAAAGTTCATAATCATCGGCCGCCCCATCAACTGGCAGTGCTCGACGTCGAGTGTTTGCCCAGCGCGCTGAGAGGACGCGATGCCATCGCCTGCCAGCTGCTCCTGCTCCTGCTCCTGCTCCTTCTCACTTCTCGTTCCGGTTTTGGTCTTTGTTTGAGTTGCTAGCAGCTTAACGGAAAACTTGGCCGCGCTTTCAAGCGCTCAACAGCCAGCGTCCAGGCGTCTGCAAATGCATAAATAAATAATGGGCCGAATGAGCGCATAAGTAAGACAATAGAAAATTGCAAACAAAATATACAATCGGGCGAAATTTAAGAGCCATAGCATACACTGAGCGGCCCGTCCTAGATATGCATGTATTTGTATGCGCATCGATTCAATTTAGAAGTGCCTCGCCCACTCCATCCCTGCCCCGATGTCCTTGCGAATGAAGCAAGTGCATCGCATGCACGCTCTGTGCGTACTTGGCATGCGTTTTATTGAAGAACGAGAAAACATAAAATAAAATGTACATCTGCATATCCTCGACGACAGCAGACAGTCGACAGCAGACACTCTGTGCTCAGGGACTGCCCAAGGTATTACCTTCTAATTTGCATAGATTCCAAGCAGACAAAAACTCGCCTTGCAGCTGCATCCACATTTGCCAGCAGCTGGATATTATTTTTTAATAGCTGCTCTTAGTCTTATGGCAGCTCAGCATCCTTCACTGTCATGCCTAACCTTTTGCTGTGTGCTCGGTTCTATTTTTGATTAGTTGCCTTTTGCCATTCACTCTCCCAAGCGGCGATAGATGCGGAAATCCCCCTATATATATTTCGATTATTTGTGCATATATTTGCTCGTTTGTGAGTGCGAAACAAGTTTCGAATTTCCAAATAAATACAACAAGGCTGCAGAGAAGAAAGCAGAGCAGGCACAAGACAATTCCACAGAATCATCGTCTGCATTGTGTGTGCTTTGATGCCATTGTCGGGGAATTAAATATTATTTAATTTTTGTGTACAGTCAGATAGGCATGTGCTCAAGTGCTCTGAGTGTCACATAAATATTCAAGATTACCAAGAATATTTGATTGTTAAGCTTCTCCGGCGATAAAAGGATTTTGCAGCTTTTGCGGAATTTGACAAACTGGGTACGAAATTATTTTTTTTTTCTCTTACGATTTATATTTGTGTGGCCTTAAAATGTTCTTTATTATGCTCAAATAATGTCTTTTAACTCAATGAAATTGTGTTTTGCATACATGATTTTAATCTATTTTTATATATATTTTATATACTTTAGAATGGGATAGACTCATTATCATGTAAAAGTAAATCTTTTGGATAGAGAGAGCTTCAAATGAATATTCTCTTATTATTTTTTATTTCATTTTTATTTTTAATATTTTTTTATAGAATTTTGCAGTTTCTTCTTCATAGAACCCATATGAGGGAAAAGATAATGAAATGAAAAATGAAAAATAAAATACATTCATATACAATTACGTAAATATACGAGTTAATTTGGCAATGAGAATGAACCCCATTATCGCACCTGCCAAATCTCAGTAAAGTGCTGTCCTAAAAGTTTTCAATATAACTAAAACAAAGCCAATGAGAGCTGTAGCCTTTTCATAGCAAAAATCTAAAGTAATATCAATATAAATCTGCAGCTGAGAACAATATTGATTTAAAGCATGCCATTTACTGAATCTATATCGAAATATTTACTTTTGCTGCCCGTCTCTATCTCTCCCATCCCTCTCTCTCCCATTCCCGTTCTTTCTGCATCAACTATCTCTATTATCCACTGTTATTACTTTGAGATATTAAAGCTCAAATGCAACATAAATTGTTGGCTATAAGTTTTAGTCAGCTTGTCAGAAAGAGGAAGTGAGTTTTTGCTGTCCTTCAGGCTTTTCAATTTCGATGCCTTTTATGGACATGTTGGAGTCGGAACAGATGAGACGCACACACACACACACACACACACACACACACACATACATACAGTACAAAGTAAAGTGTTTTACAGTGCGATTATCCTTGCTCGTCCTTCAGTCAGCAGCTTAAATTGACTTGTTCGTTGTGCTTAGTGAACCCACTCAGGCTGGGAGCCATACAGCCAGATAGCCAGAATGCCAGGATTGCCAGGATTGTCAGCTAAATAACTTAATGTACGGATTTCGCGACGATAACAGATCAGTCAGCACTCAAGCCAAAGCGCAGGACATATATAAAGCGGGTTAAAGTTTGCAGCTGAAGGGCTGGACTTAGTGGCCCGCTTTTAATATCCTTTCGCTCACAATTCCTCTTGTCGTTGTGGCATAATTAATGCCCTCGAACGGCTGACGTTGTAAGTGCGTTGTGCTGCCGGAAATTCAATAAAGCCGCTCCTCTTCCGGCCGTCGAGTTTACGCTTAAGCGCAAACGTCAACAAGCTCCGGCCGGCCGGTTGGGTCCTTCACTCGACGCGTTGGTCAACAAGCGTCGCGCACGGGTCAGTCCCAAGCCCACGCCGTAGGCGGATGCAAAGTGCAAACTTCAAAGTGACGCGCAAAGGACACTACTAATTCAATTAAGTCCGTGCCCGTAGCAGCCATTGAGCAAGCAGTCGACTCCACGAAGAGCTTTGCAGTTCGTGTGGCCATCTGGGACCTACTAAACTCTGTCCGCCCCGGCCCCACATAAGAGGCTTAACTGCTGCTGTTTCGCAAACACAAATTGATAAACCGCCCGAGAGCAAGTCATAGGGCAAATACTAATTGTAAATATTGTAGCAACTTTCACCACGGCCAATTCTGGGAATTCAATGTGAGCTCTGAGCTCAACCCGGAGCACTGTCTGCGGCGACAACTGATCAATCTCCAGATTGAAGAAGAAACTGCAAAGTATTTCAACTAAATTCTTATTATATTGAGTGGATGTTGACAATGCATTTATCCACAACTACTGCAAGTTGTGTCAAGGACTAGGACGGCAGCATTTAATTAGCTATCGAACTAGTTCTGCCGTACAAGTCTACGTTGTTTATTTTATGTTTAATGAAAATCGTACAGACAATTTACAGCGCTGCATCAATAAATAAGAGCGGCCAACGGACGTCACGGGCTGGGTATTTTATTGAGTTACTAAATATACACATGTCACAGGCAAAGGACAAGGACGAAGGACCACTATTGCTGGTTTAGTTCGTGTCATGTTTGATTGCATTTGGGTCAAAAAAAAAAAAAAAAAGAAGGGATTTATTTTGTAATTGCCTTGCTACAAATTACAGCCTTTTGAACAAACATCAATTTGATGTACAGAAAACATGTCGAATAATTTAGTTTCGCTTAAATTAGAAATGAATAGAGTCCAGAGTCCGAAATAGATGAAGTTTTTGGCGGACGTGAGTTGGTGTAGAGGGAAGCAAATGAGAGTGTCCCCGACAACTTCAAACTGAAACCAATGTGATTTAGTTCTAATTCTAAAATAGCGGAAGGTATGGAAGAATATGGAACTAAACAAAGGTACAAGTTTGGTGAGCTGTGCTTTGGTTAACAGTGAGGGGATGAGTAAATGGGAAGGGCATGAGGGAAAATACATGTATTAGAGTTGTTAAGGCCATCGATAGCCCTATCGATAGTATTACGATATACGATAGACTTATGAAGTTGGTTTGATGTTGATATATTGACTCACTTATCTGATTTTCTTTTATTCTTTCATAGCCCGCCCATAGCTATCGGCCATTTCTCGGAGAAAAAACTCAGAGACCATCCGATTGCATCGGATCCTTAACGAGTTCGTTCACGATCTAACAGAAGCTTTCTTCTTCTCTCTGTATTTATCCACTCTCGCTTCTTCCTCACCGTTTCGAGGTTGAGTTGTGCATGTGAATACGAAGACCGTTTGCATTGAGTCTTTGACTTACGCATTTGCTCACCTACTGAGTCGCATTGTGTGAACGTCAATCGCATCGCTTCCAAGACGATGAGCGTCAGACGAGTAGCTGAACTGAAGGCGCTCAGCAGAAAAGAAAAACGTAAAGAATGAAAATTGTTTGCTCAGAGCGAGGGCGACTGAATATGATTTTTTGGTTGACTTCGCATGCAGAGTGCATAGAATCAAATGGTCAAATGTGGTTTGCAAGCTACATACATTGTGTGTATTTTAAATGGGTCCATTAGACACTCTTTTCATATATTTGTTGTGGAAATCTCTTAGAGCTTAATATAAAATGAATTTAAATTTGACTAGCAGCAGTAGAGCTGTTAAGTCGTTCGATGAAATCATAGAGTGTCGGCAATAAATACTTCAGCAAATACAAGAAAAGAATACTCATTAAGGTCTATGAATAATTTAATTGAGAATTGAGAATACTTTAATAAAAATCTGTGAATATATTTCGAGCAAGAGTCGGGGTCAGAGAAAACCAAAGGAAACTCACTGATTTATCATAAAGATATACTAAAGCAACAATATCATTACTGTTGCTATGTTAAGCATAAAGCTATAAAAATCAGGTAACTCATCTTAGACAGCAGCTAAAAATCTGCGCATAGTGCCATCAATCAAGATCACGTCAAAGTGGGGAGTGCAAGAAAATAGTGTCTTCAAAATGCTATCTCATGCGCAGCCCTAATTGATGGATTGATGGAGGAAATTCGCGACTTTTATGCTGTTGGCGAGATATCGCTTAA